GTGTGGTGTGTGTGTGTGTGTGTGTGTGTATATTTACTATGTGTGTGTGTGTGTGTGTGTGTGTGTGTATATTTACTATGTGTGCTGCAGAATCGAGCTATTGGCTCATAGAGACCGCCTTTTTAACCCATTTATTTTTCCTCTTATGTCTACTACAGACCTTTCTCTGACACACGCACTCAAACATACACACATCCCTAGGAAGCAGCCCGTAGAAGTAGTCTAACTCCCAGGTACCTATTTACTGCTAGGTGAATAGGCGAATCAGGTTGAAAAAAAATCTGCCCATTTGTTTCTGCCTCGGCGGGAATCGAACCCGGGCCCTTAGGACTACGACTTCCGAACGCTGTCCACTCGGCTGCAAGGGATCCCCCCTCGTGTGTGTGTGTACTCACCTATTTGTACACGCCTATTTGTGCTTGCGGGGGTTGAGCTTTGGCTCTTTGGTCCCGCCTCCAACCCATTCTCGCAAATTTAATAAGTCAATATTGACTTATTAAATATGTGCATAGGTGACATACTTAACATAATAGTTTCCCTTGAAAAGCTTCATAGCAAACACCGACCTTACCTAACCTACTTAGTATGTTAAGATAAGCATCTATTGCTTCGTAATTACAATTATTACCTAACCTATACCTATAATAGGTTAAGTAACAATTGTAATTACGAAGCTATAAGATGCTTATTTTAACATACTAAGTAGGTTAGGTAAGGTCGGTGTTTTCTATGAAGCTTTTCAAGGGAAACGATTATGTTTAGTATGTCACCTATGCACGCAACTAATAAGTCAATATTGACTTATTAAATTTGCGAGAATGGGTTGCCCGCCTCTCAACTGTCAATCAACACACACAACTGTGTGTGTGTGTGTGTGTGTGTGTGTGTTGTGTGTGTGTGTGTGTAACCCGCCTATTTGTACCTGCAGAATCGACCTCTAACTCTTGGACCCCGCTTTTCAAGCCGTTGGATGTCTAATGCAATGACTCCTGACCTATTTCCCTATCATACCTGTTTTTAAAGTTATGAATGGAGATAGCCTCTACAACCTGCTCCTTTAGGTCATTCCATTTATTCACTTCCCTTACGTTAAAGGAACACTTTATAAGGTCCATATGACACATCTGAGTTACAAGCTTCCATCCGTGTCCTCTTGTTCTGTTGATATTCATTATAAACAATTCCTCTGTTTCCATTGTCAATTCTTCTAGGCATTTTATACATCTGTATCAATTCTCCGTGGCGTAGTGGTAAGACGCTCGACTGGCGTTCCGCGAGTGCCTTGTCATGGGTTTGTATCCCGGCTGGGGAGGATTTACTGGGCGCAAATCCTTAACTGTAGCCTCTGTTTAATTCAACAGTAAAATGGGTACTTGGTTGTAAAAACGATTCTTCGCGGGGGTCGTATTCCAGGGAATATAGGCTTAAGGACTTGTCCGAAACGCTACGCGTACTAGTGGCTGTACAAGAATGTAAGAACTGTGTGTGTGTGTGTGTGTGTGTGTGCGTGCATGTATATATATATATATATATATATATATATATATATATATATATATAATGTATATATATATAATATTATATAATATGTATTTAAAAAATTCCCCCCCCCCCCTACTCTTTTCCTCCTCCCTTCTAACGTCGTCAGGTTTTGTTCCTTCAGTCTCTCTTCGTTCCTCATCCCTCGCAACTCTGGTACGAGTCTCGTTGACGATTTACTGTGTGTGTGTGTGTGTGTGTGTGTTTAAATTTGTGTACACATGTTTGTAAGTTGTTGAGACCATATGTGTGAGTGTGTGAATGAACAACGTTATATTTTACTCGTTGTGATTATGAATGAAGACATCTGAATGTAGCGCTTCGCGTTGTGGTGCGTGTGTGGCTATCAATATGAATGAAGGAATGTGCAGTGTATACCCGTGCGTGGGTGTGTGTGTAAGGCCTGAGCGTGTCTGTGTTTGCGTGCAATTCGCTCATATTATTCCATTTCCAAAATCAATATGCACCCCACCTCTCACTCTCGCTACCCAGCCAGCCAGTCTGTCAGGCGACCAGTTTGGCGACCAGTCAGCCAACCAGGAATCCAGCCTGTCAACGAGCCAGCCAATTATTCTACCAGCCAGACTGCAGGCAAGCATGCCAACCAGTCCAACGCATAGACAACCTCCCAAACACCCAGTAAGAGTCAATTAACTCGATCATCCTACCAGACAAAAAGCCAGTCACCCATCCTCCAAGTCTGTCGACCATCCACCCAATCAGTCTTCCTTTCACCCAGGCAGCAATCTATCCACCCAGCCAGTGGATAATTATTCTTGCTTCTGTCGACCAGAAGCAAGTCAATCCAGACATCCAACCATCCAGGAAATACCCTAAACGACCAAACGCCAGCCGAAATAATCAGTCTTTCAGCCAATCAACCAGGAACATGATCAACCGATGTGCCCATCAACCGAACAACCAATCAGCTAATTTACCATGCATAAAGCCAGATGACATACAAGTCAACTAGGCGAGAGACTAGCCAGCTTACCAGGAAGTAAGCCAATTGCTCAGCCAATACACCAATCAACCAATTTCCTTCCCGCAAAACCCATTCATACGTCCACTAACTCATAGGATTCATTGATTGTCAGGTCAATATACCCCATTTAGTACTACTGTCTGGGGTCATAAATAATGCGATCGTTATCACTTTTGGTTCCTATAATAATGGCTCCTTGGTCATTTTTACCTCCATTCCATGCTAATAGAAATCCTTGTAATGATTCTTTGGTTAGGGGTCGTGAGTTATTCACGAAAGTGTCAGGTCGATATGATGGATTGTATGCAGTGTGTGTGTACTTTCTCGACACATTAATTTCCTGTTATCAGATTACTCACCAAGATGTGCTTACTTAACGTGTTGAAATGCTGATCACTAAAGCTATGTGATGGCAATCATTCCTTCGTCACGGCCAGCGCACGACAGGAAAGGCCTTCGTTGGCTCATTCATTCTAAATATCAATGACTTGCGAGTCTGTAACTCTGATTAAATAACGTGTTGGAAGGGTCAAGCCTTGAACCACTTAGTTGCAACTGTTTTCGTAACTCATCCAAGTGTCAGGCATTCGATGCTCCTTGTTGATTTGCTTCTTCAGTTCCCCCCTCCCCCCCATGTAACATCACAAGTCGTTATTAATCTTCCTTATTCATCATCTCGTCCAGTGGTGAGGTCCAGTTCCAGCGCTCTCCTCGTGCCTCAGTTCAGCTTCTTGCAAAGCTTTGTCCGTTTACCGGATTTACTTTGGTGGATGAGGTGGACATCCATGCCGGTGCTGCGTACACACCAGCGGCTCTCATACAGGATGTGTCGAACCTGAACAAATCGTAGCAATTCAGTTTCAATTTCTTTCTTTATTATGCACCCCATACTCATCCCATGTACCTGTATATATAACATTAAATCATAACAGCCAAAGACGAAGACTTGTTTGTTATCATCACTTCGGGCACCTGATGATAAATGCCCCAGCATAAATATGCTTGGGCAGCATATTAATGATTATATTCTGCCCAAGCAGATTTCTTATACTGCCAAGTTCAGTTTACTGAATTAATGTTGATGTTTAGAAACAAAACGTATATCTTTTTAAGTGTTGTTCAACCTTTCCTTCAACCAATCCCTATAACAACTTGCAGGAAATAATTTTATCGAATTCGCCGCACACTTCTTTATCATTCCCAGTTTACCATCATTTTGCATGTTCTAATCATTTTATCCTTTACCGACATCTTCGTCTTAATGTAACTATATAATACTTTAGTCTGCCCCTTTTCCTTAGATCATCATCATCTCTCAAATGTTACTTATTTTGTCTCAATTCTTTTGTGTCGTCAACCTTCACCCTACACATGTTGTGCTTCACATCTGTTCTGCCTTATTTTACCTATTATTTTTGCATCAGCTCTCGCTCTCACCACAACCCGTCATCCTAATAGAACTTCGCATTTTGATGTATACCAGGAAGTCATCTTAAGGCAAAACAATTTGTCGGGCTAAAAAATGGTAACGGTTCACGAAATTGATATACTGTCCCCGTTTTCTGTTATGGGTCTTCTGGTAGGTTAAGATAAGGGCACTTTAGTACGACAGTTTATTGACGTTGGGAAACCTTAGGAGGACGGGCTGCTCACCAAACGCGTTACTTTTTTTTATCACCCATATTCTAATGGTATAAACCTTCCTTCAGTATCCTTGTACTGGCTCGTTATGAAGTGCCACTAGTGACACTTTTTCATGCCCTGACCTGGTAGTGGTCGTTATGGAAGGTTGTCTTACAGGCGCCTCAACCCTCCCGCACGCCACAACCTTCGTAACAACTATGTAATCAAAGCTACAGTGGCCGCTGGCCCTCCTTGGTATTTCATGTGTGTGTGTGACTACCTATTGTGCCTCCAGGCTCGAACGCCGGGTTTTGGACCCGCTTTTCCAACCACTGAGATGTCAGATTCAATGGCCCCCACAACCTGTTCCACTATGTAAAACATGTTTTGTTAATTTAAAATTTGTGTTGTTTTCAAATTTTTTTTTTTTTTAGGACAGAGTTTTACAGTCATTTTAGTTTCCGCCAAGCATCGAAATTTTGACAAATAATATTGTTTAGTATTTAGTGAAGTACACTTTGAGGCACCGAGTCGGACTGCCTATAACCAGTCGCCATTCAGCGAGGTCACGCGTCTACAGACCAACAACAGGGCACAGACCAGCCACGTCCTTATAGTAACTCTGGTCTCCAACATCATCAAAGTAAACTGCAAATTCTGTCGGCCTATCTCGGTACACGGTGACCTGCCGTCGTCCTCTAGTAAATTCCACTCTTTTTGTTCTTGTTTTTAACCTTGATGTTAAAAGTTCAGCTCTTGACTTTGTTAGAGCCGAGTCCCCGATCAGGTCATCCAGTTCGCGTTCATTTGGAAAGGGAAGTTGATAGTTTCTTGATTACCGCTCTTTGCTGACCGTTGACAAAGTCATTATATCCTCTTCCGCCTGAAATAAAAAAATACCTTTTAATTATAAGTTTTAGTAACTAAAAGTACAAGTAATATAGTAATATTTCTAACAAGTAACAGTTACTTACATTTGCTGGTGGCTGTGCTATTGATGAATGACAGTCATGAGGAACGGCTTCAACAGACGACGGCGTGTGTGTGTGTGTGTGTGTGTGTGTGTGTGTGTGTGTGTGTGTGTGTGTGTGTGTGTGTGTGGATACAGACCAACTCGCCTACATTGACCTTCCTGTACCTTCACTCATGAAGAAACAGCAGTCGTTATGGTGATTCTTAAGTTCACTCAACCACTTGGGCTGAACGGTAGAGACACGGTCTCGCTTCAATCAGGTCGGCGTTCAATCCCCCGACCGGCCAAGTGGTTGGGCACCATTCCTTCCTTCCCGTCCCATCCCTAATCCTGACCTCTTCCCAGTGCTATATAGTCGTAATGGCTTGGCGCTTTCCCCTGATAGTTCCATTCCGTTAAGTAGTCTAAGAATAGCAAAGGGCATAGAACCTCTTAACCATCCTTCTTGAGTAGATCGACAGGTTCCGACCATTATATAAGGGGCCCAAGGCTTGTCTTGGTTACCCACAGGCATCTTAAAGGGCAGTTTATGGGTTATCCAGAAACTGGAAACATTCACAATGTTATGTGATATCTGCTTTGGTCCAAAACACACTGGCCAAATTATCCATAAACATAGTAGCAGAATGTATCTGCCTTTTTTTATTTTTGTTGCACTATTTGAAATTTAGTAAACAAATTCAGATTTGCAATTCTAGAAAGCAAACTGAAACGAGAAACTGTGATTATTTTTTTAAATTTAAAAAGAAGATTTGAGATATGCAGGTGAAAAGGCTATTCACACTAATATACATATGACTCTTCAGATTCTAAAAGTCAGAATTAAAGTAAAACTATGTTATGGTTGATGATAGAGAAATAATAAATTTGTTTGAATCAATGTTAAAAATGATTGAGATACACCGAAAAAAATGATAAATTTCGTGCAACATTTGTCACATAGTGAAATTATCTATTATATCTACTCTTGAAATTATGTCTGAAGTTTGTGTGTATATACTATTTGTGCCTGCAGAATCGAGGTATTAACTCTTGGATCCAGCCTTTCTAACAAATCTATTTTTTCTCAATTACTTCTACTACATATATTTTTATCACACATACACACACACACACACACACACACACACACACACACACACACACACACACACACACACACACACCACACCCCCCCCACACACACACACACACACACACACACACACCCTCCCCCCCCCCCCCCACACACACACGCACCCCCTCCCCCCCCCACACACACGCACCCCCTCCCCCCCCACACACACGCACCCCCACCCACGCACCCCCTCCCCCACACACACACGCGCACCCCCCTCCCCCCCACACACACACGCGCACCCCCTCCCCCCTCACACACACGCACCCCCTCCCCCCACACACACACGCACCCCCTCCCCCCACACACACACGCACCCCCTCCCCCCCCACCACACACGCACCCCCTCCCCCCACACACACACGCACCCCCTCCCCCCACACACACACGCACCCCCTCCCACCCACACACACACGCACCCCCTCCCCCCACACACACACACGCACCCCCCCCTCCCCCCCCCCCACAACACACACACGCGCGCGCGCGTGTGTGTGTGTGTATGTGTGTGTGTGGGGGGGTGGTGCGTGTGTGTGTGGGGGGGTGGTGCGTGTGTGTGTGTGTGAGGGGGGTGCGTGTGTGTGTGTGGGGGGGTGGTGCGTGCGTGTGTGTGTGAGGGGGGGTGGTGCGTGCGTGTGTGTGTGTGTGGAGGGGGAGGTGGGTGGGTGTGTGTGTGGGGGAGGGGGTGGGTGGGTGTGGGGTGGTGGGTGGTTGGTGAGTGTGTGTGTGTGTGTGGGGGGGGGTGGCGCGCGCACACGTTCCAAACACCCACCCACCCACACACACACACATACACACACACACACACACACACACACACCCACACACACACACACACACACACACACATACCCCACATACACACACCACACCCCCCACATACACACACCACCACCCACACACACACACACAACACCACCACCCACACCCACACACACACCACCCACACACACACCACCCACCCCCCACACACACCACCCACACACACACCACCCACCCACACACCACCCACCACCCACACACACACCACACACCCCCCACACACACACACACACCCACACCACAACACACACACACACCACCCACCACACACACACACACCACACGCACCACCCACACACACACACACACACCACCACCCACACACACACACACACACACCACCCACACACACACACACACCGCACCACCCACACACACACACAAACACTCACACACACCACCCACACACCCACACACACACGCACCACCCACACACACACACACACACGCACCACCCACACACACCACACACACACGCACCACACACACACAACACACACACACGCACCACCGGTCGGCCGAGCACACACACTTGTGACACACACACGCACCACCCTACACACACACACACAGGCCTGGTCGAGGACACACCACCCCACACACTATCTCACACACACGCACCACACCACCACACACACACACACGCTCACACCCCCTCACCCCTCTCTCCCTCACCTCTCTCTCCCTCCCGCCTCACACACCATCACCACCCACACAACACACCTTCTACACACTTCTCACTTCACACACAGGGTCGGATCCCACACACACACCCACGCATCTCACCCTTTATCACACACACACACACTCACCACTTTGTCACACACTTCACACACACGCACCCTCCCACATCACACACAGGGTCAAGCATGGCAGCCAGAGGTCCCAGGGGAACAGGAAAGAGCCAAGGTGACGAGATGAAGGAATGTTCGCCCAGTTTCTGGAGGACATCAAGAGTGAGATGCAAGAAATGATGCAGGAAATGAAGAACGAAATAAGCAACCTGAAAAGAGAGCTGACAGCAGCAAAGGAGGAGATTAGAGCCCTCAAAGAAAATGGTATCGAGGCTGAGAATCAGAAACCACCCAGGGAGAAGGTGGTAATAGTTTTCTGGATGAGAATGCCACAATAAAAGCAACATTTGCGGAAATACTAAAAAAAATAACTCTGAAGTAATGACTGCAGTGATGGAGGTGGCCATGAAAGCAGCCACCTTGCAGGAGGCGGCACGCTCCACTAGCCAACTGCTGGAAAGGAGCAGATCAGTGGTTGCTGTGGGTATTAAGGAGCAGGAAGGATCTAATAGGACAGAGTGGAGTGACAAGGACAAAGCAGCAGTGAATGAAGTACTAAAGCACTAGACATGGAAGGGGCTGAGCATAGCATTGAGAAGGTTTTCAGGCTAGGCCGGTACAACACAGACACACACCGCACCACCCACACAGTGTTTGCACACGACAACACAAAGGAGACCATCCTATCAAGGAAGAGCTCCCTGAAAAACGTGGGAAAATTAAAAAGTATTCCGCCAGAGAGACATGACAAGGGAGGAGAGAGCCGTGGCAGCAGAAGCAAGGAGAGGCACAGGGCGAGAGGGGAAAACCAGGAAGTCCCAGCTCCCAACCCAACACCCCCAGAGGCGAGGGGGGAACCCACAACCAGCTACCCAGTAACACCAGAAGGGAGGACAACCCGCCTCCTCCACTGCATAGAAAACCCCCTACCCCAAACCCTCCCTGCCCCCACTCAAATGTTCAGCAAAATCTCCCTCCCCCCACACCCAATCCCCACTCTTCTACCCCTCCCCTCCTCCCGAGTCCTCCCTCCCCCCGTTTCCTTCCCGTCCTCCCTCCCCCCCTTTCCTTCCCGTCCTCCCTCCCCCCCTTTCCTCCCCGTCCTCCCTCCCCTTTCACCCATACCCTCCCTGTCCCTCCCCTTTCACTGGATCCCCCGCCCCTCATCCCAGTATCCTCTGAGACCCTGTTATCCACCTCACAGGTCCTCACACACATGGAACAGCCTCCCCCACCAGCAGAACACTCACCAAGGAGGCGATTTGAGAAGGGACAGAAGAAAGTGAGCCTCAAAGCGATGTACCCAAACATAGATGAATTACAATAGGCAAATGAGCTTGGAGAACTGGTACTAGAGGAAAACCCAGACATAATAGCCCTCACAGAAACAATGATCACGAAAACGATAACAAATGCAGTGTTCCCCCAGGACTATTATGTTATGAGGAAAGAGAGGAAGGAAGAGGTGGGTGGTGTAGCTCTGCTGGTAAGACAAGGCTGGGATTTTGAGGAGATGGATATTCAGGGCTGCGAAGGTTTCAGTGACTACATAGCAGGTACTGTACAAATGGAGGGAAAAAAATTATAGTCGCAGTCATGTATAATCCACCACCAATGACAGAAACCTAGACAGGAATATGATAGAAACAACATGGCCACCATAACATAATAGAAAGAGCAGCTTCTGTTGCTAGCAGAATGGATCTGGACTACTAATTATGGGAGACTTCAACCATGGGAAGATAGATTGGAAGAACAGAGACCCGCATGGAGGACCAGAAACATGGAGAGCTAAGCTGCTGGACGTGGCAACAAGAAACTTTCTAAGCCAGCACACCAAAGAACCAACAGAATGAGAGGAGAAGATGAACCAGCATGCTTGATTTGATATTTACCCTAAATGAATGGGATATAAGGGAAGTTAAGATGGAAGCGCCCTTGGAATGAGTGACCACAGTGTATTGCACTTTGAGTACCTGGTAGAGCTAGGACTTATCCCCCCCCAAAAAGAACTAGGAATCAAAAGGCTGGCATACCGAAAGGGAATTATGAACAGATGAGAAGTTTCCTAAGTGAAATACCTTGGGACACAGACCTCAGAGACAAGTCTGTACAGGGTATGATGGACTATTTACCCAAAGGTGTCAGGAGGCAGTAAACAGGTTCATCCCGGCCCAAAGGGAAAAATCCGAGAAGCAACAGAAGATCCATGGTATAATAGGGCATGTATGGAAGCGAAGAAACTGAACAAAAAGGCGTGGAGGAACTTCCGGAATAAGAACACCAGAAAGCAGAGAGAGATACCAGAGAACCAGGAATGAGTACGTCAGGTGAGAAGAGAAGCAGAGAAAATTTTGAAAATGATATAGCAAACAAAGCCAAGACCGAACCAAAGCTACTCCACAGTCACATCCCAGGAGGTCTTCACATAGAACAGGTGAGGTCACTGTGCTAGGAGAAAGGGAGGTAAACCAGGCGGCCTTGGAGGAGTTCGAAATTACGAGAGAGGAGGTCAAGAGACACCTGCTGGATCTGGATGTTAGAAAGGCTGTTGGTCCAGATGGGATCTCACCATGGGTACTGAAAGAGTGTGCAGAGGCACTTTGCCTGCCACTCTCCATAGTGTATAGTAAGTCACTAGAGACGGGAGACCTACCAGAAATATGGAAGACGGCGAATGTGGTCCCAATATACAAAAAGGGCGACAGACAAGAGGCACTGAACTACAGGCCAGTGTCCTTGACTTGTATACCATGTAAGGTGATGGAGAAGATCGTGAAAAACCTGGTAACACATCTGGAGAGAAGGGACTTCGTGACAAATCGCCAACATGGATTCAGGGAGGGTAAATCTTGCCTTACAGGCTTGATAGAATTCTACGATCAGGTGACACAGATTAAGCAAGAAAGAGAGGGCTGGGCGGACTGCATTTTCTTGGATTGTCGGAAAGCCTTTGACACAGTACCGCATAAGAGGCTGGTACATAAGCTGGAGAGACAGGCAGGTGTAGCTGGTAAGGTGCTCCAGTGGATAAGGGAGTATCTAAGCATAGGAAGAAGAGAGTTACGGTGAGGGGTGAGACCTCCGATTGGCGTGAAGTCACCAGTGGAGTCCCACAGGGCTCTGTACTCGGTTATATCTTGTTTCTGATATATGTAAATGATCTCCAGAGGGTATCGATTCATTTCTCTCAATTTTGCGGACGATGCTAAAATTATGAGAAGGATTAAAACAGAAGAGGACTGTTTGAGGCTTCAGAAGACCTAGACAAGCTGAAGGAATGGTCGAACAAATGGTTGTTAGAGTTTAACCCAACAAATGTAATGTAATGAAGATAGGTGTAGGGAGCAGGAGGCCAGATACAAGGTATCATCTGGAGAGGAAATTCTTCAGGAGTCAGAGAAGGAAAAAGACTTGGGGTTGATATCACGCCAGACCTGTCTCCTGCAGCACATATCAAGCGGATAACATCAGTGGCATATGCCAGGCTGGCCAACATACGAACGGCATTCAGAAACTTGTGTAAGAATCATTCAGAACTTTGTATACCCATATGTCAGGCCAATCCTGGAGTATGCAGCCCCAGCATGGGGTCCATATCTAGTCAAGGATAAGACTAAACTGGAAAAGGTTCAAAGGTTTGCCACCAGACTAGTACCCGAGCTGAGAGGTATGAGCTACGAGGAGAGACTACTGGAATTAAACCTCACTTCGTTGGAAGACAGAAGAGTTAGGGGGACATGATCACCACATTCAAGATTCTGAAGGGGATTGATAGGGTAGATAAAGACAGTCTACCAAGGGAACACCCACACACACACCACACACTACGCACCACACACACACACACACACACACACACACACACACACACACGCACACACCCACCACACCCCCACACACACACGCACCACCCACACACACCCACACACACACACACACACCACCACCCACCCACCCCCACACACACACGCACCACCCACCCACCCCCCCACACACACACACCACCACCCCCCCACACCACACACCACCCCCCACCACACACACACACACCACACACACACACACACACACACGCACACACACCACACACGCACCACCCACACACGCACCCACCCACACACGCACCACACCCACACACGCACCACCCACACACACACCACACACACACGCACCACCCACACACGCACCACCCACCACGCACCACCCCCACACACACCACCACCCACACACACACCACCCACACACGCACCACCCACACACACACACCCACACACGCACCCACACACACACCACCCACACACACACCAACCACCCACACACGCACCACCCACACACACACCACCCACACACGCACCACCCCACACACGCACCACCCACACACGCACCACCCACACACGCACCACCCACACACTCACCACCACACACACGCACACCCACCCACACACACACCACCCACACACGCACACACCACACACACGCACCACCCACACACACACACACACACCACCACCACCCACCACACACACACACCACAACACCCCACCCACACCCACACACACACACACACCACCCACACCCACACACACACACACACACACACACCACACACACACACACACACACACACACACCACACACACACACACACACACACACACACGCACCACCCACACACACCACACACGCACCACCCACACACACACCACACCACCACCCACACACACACACACACACGCGCGCGTGTGTGTGTGGGTGGTGCGTGTGTGTGGGGGGGGTGGTGCGTGTGTGTGTGTGGGGGGGGTTAATGCGTGTGGGGGTGGTACGTGTGTGTGTGGGGGGGGGGTGCGTGCGTGTGTGTGGGTGGGTGGTGCGTGCGTGTGTGTGTGTGTGAGTGGGTGGTGCGTGTACTCACCTAGTTGTACTCACCTAGTTGTGCTTGCGGGGGTTGAGCTCTGGCTCTTTGGTCCCGCCTCTCAACTGTCAATCAACAGGTGAACAGGTTCCTGAGCCTATTGGGCTCTATCATATCTACACTTGAAACTGTGTATGGAGTCAGCCTCCACCACATCACTTCCTAATGCATTCCATTTGTCAACCACTCTGACACTAAAAAAGTTCTTTCTAATATCTCTGTGGCTCATTTGGGCACTCAGTTTCCACCTGTGTCCCCTAGTGCGTGTGCCCCTTGTGTTAAACAGCCTGTCCTTATCAACCCTGTCGATTCCCTTGAGGATCTTGAATGTGGTGATCATGTCCCCCCTAACTCTTCTGTCTTCCAACGAAGTGAGGTTTAATTCCAGTAGTCTCTCCTCGTAGCTCATACCTCTCAGCTCGGGTACTAGTCTGGTGGCAAACCTTTGAACCTTTTCCATTTTAGTCTTATACTTGACTAAATATGGACTCCATGCTGGTGCCGCATACTCCAGGATTGGTCTGACATATGTGGTATATAATGTTCTGAAAGATTCCTTACACAAGTTTCTAAAGGCCGTTCTTATGTTAGCCAACCTGGCATATGCTGCTGCTGTTATCCTCTTGATATGAGCTTCAGGGGACAGGTCTGGCGTGATATCAACCCCCAGGTCTTTCTCTCTCTCTCGGACTTTTGAAGTATTTCATCTCCCAAGTGATACCTTGTATCTGGTCTCCTGCTTCCTACCCCTATCTTCATTACATTACATTTGCTTGGATTAAACTCTAACAGCCATTTGTTCGACCATTCCTGCAGCTTGTCCAGGTCTTCTTGAAGCCTCAAGCTGTCCTCCTCTGTCTTAATCCTTCTCATAATTTTGGCGTCGTCAGCAAACATTGAGAGGAATGAGTCTATACCCTCTGGGAGATCATTTACGTATATCAGAAACAGGATAGGTCCAAGTACAGAGCCCTGTGGGACTCCACTGGTGACTTCACGCCAGTCTGAGGTCTCACCCCTCACTGTAACTATCTATCTACCTAGCTATCTACCTAGGCAGAGTCGTCATCTAGAGTACCACGTCTCCGAATGGTTTCTCACGGGAGGGCGGATGGCCCGCCGCCACACCCGCCCACGAGTGGGTGTGGCGGCGGCCGGAGGGACCCCCATGTGCATACCTGACTACCCTCCCGCTCCGGGGCCTTGCTAGGAGCTTCTGGCAAACTTTTTTAATTCATTTCCACATATGCTGTTGTCAAGTCACCATACCTGTCGCTTAAGCAGTTTGTTGTTTTGCCCTCAACTTTAGTTGTTTTTGATGATACTGAGCACTCCTCTGGTTGTGTGATGTGTCTTGTATAAGAAAACCAAATACAACAGACTTTTTCATTGCACTAATCCATTATCATTATCATCTTAACTCTTGCTGGTGAGATATGCCAATTATTATTTTATATATTTTAGTTTGTGGTGTTAGGGAATGTGAGCGCTTATGGGTAGCTACCCCTATGGGTAAGTTCAGGAGGCCTGGGCCATGACTGCGAGGCTAGAACTATAAACCAACTTAAGGTAAGGTGTACCCCGCCACATGCCTAGTGGTTAGGGGAAACGACCTGTGGTCATGTCTGCGGCTACACGACCTGTGGTCATGTCTGCGGGCTACACGACCTGTGGTCATGTCTGCGGGCTACACGACCTGTGGTCATGTCTGCGGGCTACACGACCTGTGGTCATGTCTGCGGCTACACGACCTGTAGTCATGTCTGCGGCAACACGACCTGTAGTCATGTCTGCGGCTACACGACCTGTGGTCATGTCTGCGGCTACACGACCTGTGGTCATGTCTGCGGCTACACGACCTGTGGTCATGTCTGCGGGCTACACGACCTGTGGTCATGTCTGCGGGCTACACGACCTGTGGTCATGTCTGCGGGCTACGCCTGTGATCATGTCTGCTGCTACGCGACCTGTGATCATGTCTGCTGCTACGCGACCTGTGGTCATGTCTGCTGCTACGCGACCTGTGGTCATGTCTGCTGCTACGCGACCTGTGGTCATGTCTGCTGCTACGCGACCTGTGGTCATGTCTGCTGCTACGCGACCTGTGGTCATGTCTGCTGCTACGCGACCTGTGGTCATGTCTGCTGCTACGCGACCTGTGGTCATGTCTGCTGCTACGCGACCTGTGGTCATGTCTGCTGCTACGCGACCTGTGGTCATGTCTGCTGCTAC